GTTTTTTATTCTAACTTTTTTGTTTTTTGAGATAAATTCATTAAGTTTGGACTCATTTTAAAGGTTTTTTAATGAAGATGACAAATATGTCAAAATTGACGTTGACGTTTCAAACCGGAAGTGATTTTATTTCCATTAATATTAAAGTTAAATATGTCGAGTTTGGACTCATTTTAAAGGATTTTTTATGAAGTTGACAAATATGTCAAAATTAAAAGTTAAAAGTTCGAACTTTTTGGTTTTTTGAGATAAATGCGTCAAGTTTGGACACAATTTAAAGGTTATTTTATGAAGATTACGAATATAATAATAAAATTAAAGTTAACATTGATAACTGAAAGTTTTGAGAAAGATTTGAGTATCATCTGATTGAGTTAGGTTGGCTTTGTTGTCCGAAACATTTTCTTCCATCTCCTTTCATTCTCGGACTTTTATCCGATTTTTATGCCAAAAAGGCCAATTTCAGAAATATTTAAAAAATTGATAAATATGTTAAAAAATTTTATAGAATATGACGTTTAGGTTCCTAAAGAACATTTTTTGTCAGAAATACTTTTTCTCATCTCTTTTCAATCTTGAATTTTTTCCGATTATTCATTGTCATAAATGCCAACTTTAGATATATTATGTTCCTTTTTTATCCAGTTTTAGTTAGTATAACTGATCAATGTGTCAAAAGTCAAAATTTTTTATGGAATTCGTTTCTCACGTTCATAAAGAACAAATTCTTTTATAACCAGATATAACCCTTCTTTTTAACTTATGAGTCCATGAATCCACCAAAAAGGGGGTTCAAACATTTTTTCTTGCTACATTTTCTTTGTTACACGCTCCTCTTCTTATTATAGTTAGTCGTTTTGACATTAGTGTCGTAATGCCCCGTTAGTGTTTCCCGAACAAGAACAACAATAAGAAAAGAAGACGACGACACAAAGAGCATTATTTATAACTGACCTGAGTGCTCTCTCTCTTTTTTTTTTGTCTTTGTAAGATGAGAGTAGCTGAACAGAGAACAAACAGAGAAAATCTGCTGATTTTGCAAAATTTGTTCTTACTTTTTCTTGGATTTGAACTAGTTTTTGCTTTCTCTTATTTTTGCAAAAAATTTTGCCTGCTTATTTTGAAATTACTTATGATTTTCAATAAAATCCTTTCAGATCTTTGGCTGTATTGGTTAGGTTAAGATGATTTTTGCTGCCTTATGGCTTTTTAACCAGTCCATGTTATCTCCTTGTATTGCAAAAATTGTTTCAGACTTCTCTTATTTTTGGAAATATTGATCTTGTTCTCCCTCCACTTTTGAAAAACGTTTTTTTGCGAAATATTTCTGACTTTGCTCTCTCTGTTGACTATTGAAAATGAATCCTTTGGAGCATGAGTTTTCCAGTAAAGCGCAAACAGTTTTAATATTTCATGGTTTTCCCAAAAGTTGCTTCTCAGCCTTTCTTTCTGCTAACATTGAAAAATCTTTTGGAAACACGTACCTTGGGTCATCTAGCTGGGTTGTATTATTGATTTTTAAACACAACCCGTATTTTGTGCTCCTTTTGGAAAAGTGATGCCTCCTCATTCTTAATTTTGGCAAAGTCTTCTGTGGCAACTATTTTGTCACCTAAGAATTCACAACCGTGGATACTCTTGTAGCAGAAGGATCGATTTGCTGCATAACTTTTATATTAATCGTTATTAATATTATCGAAGAAATTAACAATATTTATTGTTTCCTGAATATATATTACTCGTTTTTTCGAACCTCCAACTCTTGAGTGATTTGAATACTCCGTTTAAAGCAAATGTCCAGGCGAGCTCGATTTAATTAGATGCATGAAGTAACTTTAATAGGACAAGGTAACTTGTGGTGTTACAATTGATGCAATATTGGATAACACATGCTGTAATATCTCGGTCTCAAGCAACCTCGACTTAGTTACTACAGAAAATATGTTGTAGCTTTATTAAGTCACTCTGTTAGAGTTAGTAAAATCGCTAATACAAAGATCGAATTATTTCTTTTATCTCTTGTAGACTTAATTTAATATTTATGCACTTTCTTTTTACTTTTAGGCTTTTTCTTTTAAATTATAGCAAAATTAAACATTATTAACTGATACCATGTTAAATACAAAAAATTCGTTATAAGTGGATACATTAATTTAATTACTGAATAATAAATTATTTACCACAGTGTAGGGTCACGTTTAGCATCTGCAGATCCATTGCACTCGTAAGGCAAATCTAATTGGGAAAAAAGTGGAAACAGCACTTGAATTCCTCCTATTGAGTTGAGCGTGCTGTGGATGGAATGGGTTATCACAGCTTTCACGTCCTAACAAAAACAAGAATTAATAAAATTAAGAGATTTCCCCATTTATTTTAATTTCACCTGTAACATGAGAGCATGTGGAGTGTGGACGAAGTAAGAAATATTTCCCTTCGGGGCTGATTGTAGACAAAGCTGGCTATCAGTGGCTACGGGGTTGTACATAAAAACGATCGCGCTAGAAAGCTTTCCATCGTAGAGCACCTAAAAAATAGGGAGCGATAAAATTTTGTACTTTTTTATTCATAAACGGATTTTTTGTTGGTTGGTATCATAAATATTCCGGGTAAATTAAACGGGTTTGATCAGAACGATTATATCGAGGTAAACCTGTAAATGGAAATTTTTAAAATTGACATAAAGGGAGTTCGGATAACAACAAAAATCGGGGCAAAATTCAAAAATGGAAAAAAAAAATAGGGACCAATCTTGCACAATGCACGCCGCGCCTGGATTATTAAAGCTTTCCCAGTTATATCCGGGAAAAATCGTCCGCTTTGGAAATTAACACGGGATTTTTGTAGATAATCGCATTTGTTCGGGCGTGAAGCTCGATATACGCTAAAATAAACAGCCAAAAATCGACCTCCCACACACTCAACCTAAACCCCCAACCCCACTCACAATATTTCGATACACAGCTTTATAGAAATTTAAACCAAAAAATACTTTATCTATTAAAACATAAAATTATCTACATAAAATGTACATTGTATTAATTTAATTATCGTACCCAACATCATTGTGATATACAGTACTGTGATATTGGTTGCATACTTGCAATGATGACGTCGGGTACGATAATTAATTAACACACTGTATATACAGGTGTCTCACGTAATTGCTTCGTTAGAACTTTTTCAGGTTCCACAATTCGTACAGTTTTGAAATTTTAGTAGCATGAAGAATTGTTTATTCGGAACTTTCGATCTAAAATATTTTCAAGATGGCTGCCACTTCCGGTCTACCGGAAGTAGACCATAACTTCGTCATTTTAAACGGAATGCTGTAGTTTTTATTACACCTTTTAATTGTACGTAAAAAAATATGTTGGCTTTCATAAAAGCTATTGGTATGTAACGTTTTTCGTTTTCGAGTTATTTTGATTTTAAGTTTTTTTTTGCAAATTTCACCATGCTCTTTAAAACCCCATATCCCAGCCAACGTTCATTCAAAAAAGCTCTAATTTGGCACGATTACTCTTTAGATGCTGTCAAATAGATCATCATTTATTGTATCAGAGTATCTTATACAGGGTGGTCAAAAATTGTATTACCGTTTCTCCATATTCAACCGCAAGAAAGTCGAAAATTTTAAATGGAACACCCCATATTTTATTAGCCTACCCGAAAGGGCGTTTAATTCGCTACAATTTATCTACAAACATTCCTATACATATTTAATGTAGTTTCTCTCATATTCGAGAATTTATCAAAACATGCAGAAAATGCAGGAAACCGTTTGTATTTTAATTAGAAGGCCATGACATTTTGACAGTTTTTCGAAAAGAATTGTATCTCAAAAACGAATTGAGATATAACGATGAGATAAGGATTAAATGTGCCATAAATAATTCCATAACTTTCGTTGTTACGATATTTATACTCAACTTGGTTATTAAAAAATGAAATTAAAAAAATCGTATCTCAAAAACGAATTGAGATATAACGATGAGATAAGGATTAAATTAAAGGGAATTTAATCAAGATTAAATGTGGCATAAATAATTTTTTATTCTCCATAACTTTCGTTGTTACGATATTTATATTCAACTTGGTTATTAAAAAATTAAATTAAAAAAATCGTATCTCAAAAACGAATTGAGATAATAACAATGAGATAGGGATTAAATTAAAGGGAATTTAATCAAGGTTAAATGTGGCATAAATAATTTTTTATTCTCCATAACTTTCGTTGTTACGATATTTACATCCAACTTGGTTATTAAAATGTTAAAACATGAAATTAAAAGAATCGTATCTCAAAAACGGATTGAGATATAACGATGAGATAAGGATTAAATTAAAGGGAATTTAATCAACGTACATATATTAGATTGAGGGATTTAAATAGATAAATTAGTCTTCGAAATGCGAAATGAACCTTAGAGACAAAAATGTTTAAGTTTACTAAGTATAAAAAATAGAGCTGATTGTTTGTTGTTTATAATAATTTGTTGATGGATATTTTATTTTATCAATGTCTTTCTAATAAATTAGGCGTTGATATTTGTTTGATATTCAGTAAGTCCAAACCAATTTAATAACTTCTTAACTCTGTACAACTTGTTATTAATTTCTTTGCTTTAAAATTATATTAGGAGCGTGAATTACTAAATAAAAATAATAGTGAATATTTAGCTGTATCACCCAAAGATCTTTAAAAATTATATATAAAGGAAGCCTTTTTTATAAGTTTTCTATTTTATACGTCTTAAATAATAATACTCCATAATAATAATTAGCTTTATCGCCCAACCATGCATTTGATATAAATAATAAATAAAAATATATAATTATACAAGAGAAAAGAATTGAAAAAAATAATAAATAAGCAAATCGCGAGGCGCAGTTCAGACAAAAATATCCTTGTTCTTCCATCTGAACCTCAATTAGGTATATAAAAAAATTTAAAATAAATTATTAAATTAACATAAAATAAGAACAAAAAGATTCAATAATAAATCATATTATACGTTTTTAAAATTCTTTCTCGAACATGACGTCACCAGCCCACAGGATAGCTTTGTTTGAGAGATCTTTTAGCCATAACATTTACTTTAAATATAATAACCTGCCGGTAGAAATTAAAACTAATTAAGCTACTTTATGGCGTGGACCTCCCTTGCAATGAGTCCTTTTTTTGAATTGAATTGTTATGATGTTATGGAATTGATACGAAATTTTTCTTTTTCTTGCGGAATTAATTAGGCTTATGTAGGTTTTTAGTAATAATTTTAGGCCATTATTTCTACTGTTACCTTTAGTTCTGTTCATTTTCTTTTTAATCTTTTTAATTTGCAAGATTCAGTGTAAGAACAGAAAGTGTCATTGGCACTCATCTGAACTGCACCTTGAGGTTCTCCAATAATTAAGTATTTAGTTATTTGATAGGTTGTATTATAATAACATATGGATTATTTGTATTATTTTATTGGAGAATAAAGGCGGTTATTATTATTATTATTATTATTAATCATGCCAATGCAGATCTTTTCTGAATCAACGTTGGCTGAGATATAGGGTTTTAAAGAGCATGGTGAAATTTACCAGAAAAAGCTTAAAACCAAAATAACTCGGAAATAACTCTTTCTAATGATTCTAATGAACCAGTTACGTGAGACACCTGTATAATAGCAATTTGTGATTTCTACTAATAAAATAATAAAAAAAATATAAATAATAAAATTAAAAACGTGCTTACTATACGTGCATCTGAGATGTTCTGGGCCATGCTAGTACCACTCTGATCAATTTCACTCACCCTTTTGTGATTGTCGGGTAGATTCAAATGACATTCATTATCGAATCGAAATTGGCTCTAACAAATCGCAAAATAATTAGAATTTTTATTTAATGATTATTAAATTGTTTACCTTATATCCAGGACCTAGTCTGTGCATTGCGCAAATTTGATGCGTAGTTAAAGCTTCGCTAAACAAATAAATTGCCGACATTTGTCCACAAAAAACTCGTTCCTCATCCAGTTCCGGTGTAGCCCCAATAAAGCATTTGTCGAAAGGCTAAAATAAAAAAATTCAACATTTTTTTTTGGGGGAATTTGTTTTAAAATTAAAACGTGCACACGCGTGTTTGCACCGACTGTACCGGGTCGGGCTGTTAATGAAATAAAACAAACAGCAGAAAGTGGGCGCAAATATACGTTTCGCCCGAGGACACGTCGTGCTGCATTTTTTTACTGCAGTTTCGAATTCACGTTACCAATTAAACAAAAAAAAACAATGAACAGTAAAAAAAAGCTCCACGTTTGTACATTCGTTGTGTGTACTCACATCGTTTGTGGACACGAACCAGGCCATCTCTGTACTGGACGCTAATTGACCGTTGACTAAACATTTGATCTCACTCTTCGTCCACCTATTGTAAATGTACACCACTGCGAGCATGTACCACTATTTGAAATTAAAAAAAAATTAATTAAAACGAGATTTTAATCAAGTAGCAACTTTACCTTTCTTGGTTGAAACTCGTACTTTACGCAATGTTGAAATCCTTTACCCTTTATCTTCATCGATGTTAACACCAGACAATTTCCAACGAAATGGGCAGTGTACCCGACTCCTTTGCTTGTTTTAAAGCTGCAAAACAACGTTGATTAAAATTTACACAATATTGCATTACAGTAACTAGTTATTAAATAAACTTGATCCTCGATAAGATCTGACTCGCTTCATTATTAAATCAGGTAGCTAAGGAAACATAACCGGAAGCGCCTCCTCCGTTGATTAAACATAACTCGGCGTGCGAATGGAATATATATTTGAAACCGAGTGGGACAATGGAACTTAATTAACTACGTGCGGCTGCGATTCTAAACTCGCTCTCTATTTCGTGTTGAACACGAACCTAGGTAAATTAGTTAATTTAAAACTTTTTTTATTAATTTAGAGATATAACTATACTCCCAAAAGTGTGCCTTACCCATTGAAAGTAAGTACCCCTCCGGGTTGGGATTAGATACTTACCAATACAAATAGGGTTTCTCCCGTTCTATATTCACCGAATTGATGGGATCCAGTCTGAACCACGTGGTGAAGGTGAAACCGTTCTCGTACGGCCATTTCGCCAACGGGGGTAGCACAATCGCCTGGAAAACGATTCGAAACAAAAAAATAAAAATGATTCAACAACTAAATCGATCGATATGATTTCCTTCCAACTCTCTATATATAGGATATAAGTATTGTTCTTTTTTATAACATATTTGTACGAACCGGTTGAATAAATAATGTTGGAAAATATTGACTCTTGGAAGCTGAGGGAAAAGTTGGGAATTGCGAATCGCTGGAGGGTGGGTTTATCTGAAAAGATTAGAAAAATTGGAGTTGGTCAAGGGGAAAAGGATAGAAAATAACGATTTAAAAAAATTGGAAGTAGAAAATATCTATATAAGATAAAATATATGAGATAATAATACGTACAGATCCTTTTCTGCCAGGAAAACTAAAAAATACATCCGGTCCGCTTCTTTGGGGCATTTGACGGAGAACGTTTAGTAATTTAGCTGAATGTCGAGGCTGAAAATAAAATTGATTAAGTTAATAATTAAAAAAACTTGTTATAAAAATGATAAAATTATGTTTAAGAAGTAATATCTCAAGAACTAAGAGATATTTTCAAAAACGGTTGTTTTTATTGGAAAGCTTATAGTTTGTATTATTAACGCTGATAGTTTCATCATCATCGATTAAAACTACGATTTATTACGATTTTTTGAAAATGAGTGTACAAAAATTGATCACAGAAATAAGAAAATTATTGGCATGTTTAAAAGTTAATATCTCAAGAACTAAGAGATATTTTCAAAAACGGTTTCTTTTATAGGAAAGCTTATACTTTTTATTATTAATGCTGATAGTTTCATAATTTTTTATGAAAATTACGATTTATTATAATTTTTTGAAAATGATTGAAAAAAAATTCTTCATCAAAAAATAAGAAAAGTATTGTTTTGTTTAAAAGTTAATATCTCGAAAACTAAAAGATATTTAAAAAAACGGTTTCTTTCATTGGAAAGCTTATAGTTTGTATTATTAATGCTGATAGTTTCATCACGATTTATTAAAACTACAATTTATTACGATTTTTTGAAAATGAGAGCAAAACAATTGTTAACCAAGATATAAGAAAAAGTATTGTTATGTTTAAAAGTTAATATCTCAAGAACTAAAAGATATTTTGAAAAACGGTTTCCTTTATAGTAAAGGTTATACTTTTTATTATTAATGCTGATAGTTTCATAATTTTTTATGAAAACTACGATTTATTATAGTTTTTTGAAAATGAGTGTAGAAAAATTGTTCACCTAGAAATAAGAAAAAGTTTGTTATGTTTAAAGATTAATATCTCGAAAACTAAAAGATATTTTAAAAAACGGTTTCTTTTATTGGAAAGATTATAGTTTGTATTATTAATGGTGATAGTTTCATAATAATTTATTAAAACTACGATTTATTACGATTTTTTGAAAATGAGAGCAAAAAAATTGTTAACCAAGATATAAGAAAAAGTATTGTTATGTTTAAAAGTTAATATCTCAAGAACTAAGAGATATTTTCAAAACCGGTTTTCTTTATTGCAAAGCTTATAGTTTCTATTATTAATGCTGATAGTTTCATCATCATTGATTAAAACTACGAATTATTACGATTTTTTGAAAATGAGTGTAAAAAATTGATCACACAGAAATAAGAAAATTATTGGCATGTTTAAAATTTAATATTTCAGGAATTAAGAGATATTTTCAAAAACGGTTTCTTTTATTGAAAAGCTTATAGTTTGTATTATTAATGCTAATACTTTCATCACGATTTATTAAAACTACGATTTATTACGATTTTTTGAAAATGAGTGTAAAAAATTGATCACACAGAAATAAGAAAATTATTGGCATCTTTAAAACTTAATATCTCAAGAACTAAGAGATATTTTCAAAAACGGTTTCTTTTATTGGAAAGCTTATACTTTGTATTATTAATGCTGATAGTTTCATCACGATGTATTAAAACTACGATTTATTACGATTTTTTGAAAATGAGTGCAAAAAAATTGTTAACCAAGATATAAGTAAAAGTATTGTTATATTTAAAAGTTAATATCTCAAGAACTAAGAGATATTTTCAAAAACGGTTTTCTTTATTGGAAAGCTTATAGTTTGTATTATTAATGCTGATAGTTTCATCATCATTGATTAAAACTACGATTTATTATGATTTTTTGAAAGTGGGTGTACAAAAATTGATCACCTACACTGAGGGAAATTATTCTTAACTTTCAAGAATAAATTTCTTAGAAACAAGTACAAGATACTCTTAAAACAAAAATATTTCTTTGCTTTAAGAATAGAAATATTATCGAAGTATATCATATTGTTAGTATCGAAGAATATCAATTTTTTGTATCAAAAAATTCATTCTTGCGTCAATAATTTATAATACACCAAATGAAGAATTATACAAGATTGTTGTTACATGAATAAGTTTTTCTAAAAAGAAAGATACGTTATTCTCGTCTTAAGAAATCTATTCTCGATACGAAAATGGATTAAATTCAAGATTATTGATTTATTTTCACTAAGAATTCGTTTTTTTGAGAATCAAAAATATTTGTATACTTGCTTTGAGAATATGTGGTTTTTCTTCACTCAACAAAATGATCTTGATGAGCTTGAGCCAAGAGTAATAATCTTCATTCACGAATATATTTCTCTCAGTGTAGAAATAAGAAAAGTATTGGCATGTTTAAAAGTTAATATCTCAAGAACTAAGAGATATTTTCAAAAACGGTTTCTTTTATAGTAAAGGTTATACTTTTTATTATTAGTGCTGATAGTTTCATATTTTTTTATGAAAACTACGATTTATTATAATTTTTTGAAAATGAGTGTACAAAAATTGTTCATCTAGAAATAAGAAAAAATATTGTTATGTTTAAACATTAATATCTCGAAAACTAAAAGATATTTTAAAAAACGGATTCTTTTATTGGAAAGCTTATAGTTTGTATTATTAATGCTGATAGTTTTATCACGATTTATTAAAACTACGATTTATTACGATTTTTTGAAAATGAGTGCAAAAAAATTGTTAACCTAAGAAAAAAAAAGTATTATGTTTAAAAGTAAATATTTCAAGAACTAAGAAATATTTTCAAAAACGGTTTCTTTTATTGGAAAGCTTATACTTTTTATTATTAATGCTGATAATTTCATAAACGTTTCTTAAAACATCGATTTATTACGATTTTTTGAAAATAATTGAAAAAAAATTTTTCATCTAGAAATAAGAAAAGTATTGTTATGTTTAAAAGTTAATATCTCAAGAACTAAGAGATATTTTCAAAAACGGTTTCTTTTATTGGAAAGCTTATACTTTGTATTATTAATGCTGATAATTTTATAATCGTTTCTTAAAACATCGATTTATTACGATTTTTTGAAAATAATTGAAAAAAAATTTTTCATCTAGAAATAAGAAAAGTATTGTTATGTTTAAAAGTTAATATCTCAAGAACTAAGAGATATTTTCAAAAACGGATTCTTTTATTGGAAAGCTTATACTTTGTATTATTAATGCTGATAATTTTATAATCGTTTCTTAAAACATCGATTTATTACGATTTTTTGAAAATAATTGAAAAAAAAATTTTCATTAGAAATAAAAGTATTGTTATGTTTAAAAGTTAATATCTCAAGATTATTTTATTACTTGTTAAATTATTGTTTAAAGAAAATTTAAGAAAGAAAAAAATTCTTTTCCTTTTGTGAAAACAGTACAAGTACGAAAACTAAACTGTTTGTTCTCACAACGAGACCAAATGTAATCTACTGTCCCCCCAAACTTTTTAAGTAACAACATACGCTGTAACATGTCGAGTTTCCACAATTTCATATCCCGCAGTGTTTCTTCTCACCGACAAAGTTTACCTTACAAGAGATAGAACTTTGAGATCACGCTCACCGCTTTAAAATAAAACCAGAAAATTTACTACACACGTTTCCACAAGTTTCAAGTTGAAATTGTCACTTCTTTTTTTAATGCCAAAGTGATTAATGTTATTTTAAAAATTTCTTACCCATTTTCCATTAATTGCTTTCATGGCACCAAAAAGCAATTTGAGCTCCTTTACTGTGATACTATAACTAGCCAAAACGCCAAGCATTTCTATTAATAAATCTGGAAAAAAAATTAAATTACGATGATAAAATTACGTTGCGGGATAATTATAATAAATTAATGATAAACCTAATTAAATTCAAAGTTAGAGTAATTAGACCTCCAAAAAGCTTTAGCTAACCGAGTTTCGAGTAAACTTTTTGAGGGTTATCGATTTAACTTTCGGTTTAAATTGTATTTTATTTACTGGAATAAAATGTAATTAATTAAGAATTTGATTCGTGAAATTTTAGGAAATAATTTTATACAATTTCGTTATGTGAAATTTATTTATTAATAAATTTATGATTTATTTCCACATTTGGTTAAATCAATGACCCGAATGGAATTATCTCTCTAACATTTAAAAATAATCTCGTTGAGGAACAAATTTATCGATTGCCTCATAATTAATAATTTAATTTCCTCGACTTTGCGATATCTTATTTTAGTTCCCAAAGTGACCGTTAATTAGTATTTCAACGAAATTTCTTGGGGACTCCCCCAGGAAGCCACTTGTTCTGTTCTTTCCGTTTTTCTTCTCCACCACCAACCTTTTCCTGTCGTCTTAAATTAAAAGGAAACTCCCCGAGGGGGTCGCGTCGTCTTCTCGAGATCACAAGAGATTTGTCTTCTTTTTTTACTTTTATAGTCGAACGGTGAAGGTGGGAGCGAGAGAAAGAGGGGCGTGTGAAAAATGCGCATTCCTGTAAAGGGTGGAGACAAGCAAAACAGGGTAAGAAGAAATAGATACCTGCGACGACGACGTCCGCATTGCGAAGCCTTTTCAGGACGTGCTCGATCAGGCCAACATCGGTGCAAGCCTGTAAATTCCGCACGCTTTTCCGTAAAATCGCTATGAAGACACTCCATATTTCAGCCTGAAAAGAAAGAAAATAAATTAAATAGAAATATGGAATTTTTTAAAAGTATTTTTAGAAATTTTATGTCTATTATTTTATTTTTCAGTTTTATACAGTATCCAACAAATATTAATCTGAAACTGGACATTACTCTCCTCTATCAATTTATCCTCTATCAAAGTATGCAAAAAAAAACATATGCATACCATTTAAAATAACAATGTTGGTTGCCATAGCAACAAAACAAAAAAGAATACAAACAAGCAAATATTGCCAAAAAATGCGCCATTATTAATAAAGAAAATTGCATTTGAAACATTTTTCTTTAAAAGCACAAATGGCGAAGTTATTGGCTATATTCCAGATATTTGACACACCCTGTATATAAAAAAACATTTTATACAAAAGTATAAAATTTGCGTTATTCGTTGCTCATTTGTTTTCTGAAATAAAAACAATTGAATGCTGTCTTATTATGGCAAATAAAATATTAAACAAATTTTGTATAAAAAGTTTTTTTATAAAGTACATTATTAAATATATGTAGTCACCCTGTACATATTAAATATACAGGGTGAGTTATTAGTATCCCGGCGGAGAAATTTTAAAATCATTTTTATTTAATACTGATAATATCATTATGATCTATTACAACCACGATTTAATACGATTTTTTGAAAATGATTGAAAAAAAATTGTTGACCTAGAAAAAAAAAAGTATTGTTATGCTTAAAAGTTAATATCTCAAGTACTAAGAGATATTTTCAAAAACGGTTTCTTTTATTGGAAAGCTTATACTTTGTATTATTAATGCTGATAATTTCATAATCGTTTATGAAAAGATCGATTTATTACGATTTTTTGAAAATGATTGAAAAAAAATTGTTCATCAAAAAAAAAACATATGCATCCCATTTAAAATAACAATGTTGGTTGCCATAGCAACGAAACAAAAAACAAAACAAACAAGCAAATATCGCCAAAAAATGCGCCATTATTAATAAAGAAACTTGCATTTGAAACATTTCTCTTTAAAACCACAAATGGCGAAGTTATTGGCTATATTCCAGACATTTGACAAACCCTGCATATGTTGATAAGTATCAACTTTATAAAAAAACATTTTATACAAAAGTATAATATTTGCGTTATTCGTTGCTATCTTATTATGGCAAATAAAATATTAAACAAATTTTGTATACTTTTTTGTATGAACTTTTTGTATTTGGCAATTTTTTGCTAATTTACCTAGAAGTTAGGTTATTTGATTTTTGTCAATTTTAGTTACTTTTTCATAATGAAGGTATTAATTTTTATATATTATTTTAAAATAGACATTTCAAGCTTTAATTTAAGATATAAAATATTTTTTTATCTTCAAAAATAAAGTAACAAGACGTAAAATTAGAAAGTGATGTTTAATTTTACGTAAAATTATTCTCTCGTATACAGAGTGTTCCATTTAAGCGTAACGGAGAGTATGTAAATTTATTTAAATGAAACATCTTGTATATTTTATCATGTTAATTATTTCACAGCGTTCATAGTTCCTGAGATATTCAATTGTTCTTCCAAAATGTGCCCATTACAGGAGCTTTTTAAAAACGATGTAAAAACGACATTTTTTCCGATTTTGCCTTGAAACTACGTCAGACAATAGTCAAAGCCAGTAGGTAGCTGATAGTAATCAAAGATATTAGATACACTATACAGGTTGTTTATAAAGCTTAGTTTTTTTCTTAAGTTTTTTAAATGGAACACCCTGTATATTGTGTGCTAGTTGAATTGCTCATCAAGTTCCCTTTAATTAATGATAAGTATGTCATATGTCTAACTTTAATAGTTTTCCTGATATTTAGAATTTAAATTAAATTGTACTTAATCTTATATTCTGTCTATTTCTATCAGTTAAAAAACTTTCTAAAATAAAAATCGAAAAAAACTATAAAATTTAAGTCGAGCTCAGTGATCATCATATTGTGAGGCCTCGGCTTTAATTTAAGTGGGAAGTGTGTGATTTTATTTGATTAAGCCGAGGATCTAGAATAAGTATCATATTAATCTGAATCTGATCATCATATAGTAGCGCCTCGGCCGCAAGCGACCTCTGCTTTATGAGATAACGATCTTGTGACTAGTGATTAATATCATATCTATTTCAATTTTTGACCATCCTGTAAAGCGTTACAGCTAATTACGTTTAATTTGAAGCATAATGATACTAATTATCATCTTTGGTGTAATATTAGATACGACCATCTTGAAAATATTTTACAGATGGAATCAAAAGAAATAGGGTGACGTTGATTTTTTGGTAGACACTGTATAGAATGGTTCATTGAATTCAATTAAGATTGCTTGGTTCAATTCGAGTTTATTTCGTGCGCGAAGACTGATTTGGTCGGGATTAGCGAGTTGAAAAAGTTGGAAACGACGCCAGTGGATCGGCTTTCCAGTTTTTAATTTAAATTTAATTAAGCTGCCAATCTCTCCTCGCGGTAATGCCCTAATGCACCACCCCCCGTTCGAGCGTTCAGCAAAGCCCCATTTTTTTTAACTCATTCTCTTCCCTTTAAAACGCGGAAAACAACATGCAATTTTTTGTTTCAAGCCTTTTCAAGATAGATTGGTAATTATAAAACATTTTTCAATATAAATCTAAAAATTAATTACCTGTTTAATCTAAGCAGGATCTAATTAACTATCTAGTTAATTAAACGTTGACCATTAATCTTGATATATTACAATGTACTAATTATGTAATCAACAACGTCATTAAACCCTCATTATTACAACTATTAACTAATAAAGGTTTATTTGGGTTTCATTGATATATATTTGCAACAATAAAATTTGTTTTAAAGCACTCCAAAAATTCACATAAATTTTATTGAATGTGTAACTAAATTAATTGGTATTTGCTTTAAATTGTAGCAAATTTTCCATTGTGTATCTCCATTAAGAGTGGTTTATTATAAAATTTCAAATAAAATCGAGCTAATTCATTCGCGATTTTCTTTTTATATAAAAAAGAGATAAAATGTCGTAAAAAGTGGTGAATGTCAAAAACATTTCCGACAAACTTCGAGCATATAATAAAGCTCGTTTAGGTCTGGCGAACGAAAAGTTGGAAAATTAAAAGCTCTTTCTGTAAACAAACCCGTCGCCGAAACTTTTCGAAAAAAAGTCTTCTCGCTTGGAAAAACCACGCGTACCATTTTCAACAAATTTCCATCTAGTTTGGAACCGTCGATGTCGAAGAAAATTAACGCGACGACGTTTCTTCGACAACAATTTCGTTATATCATTTTATCTTTATTTAAATTTGATTTATTTTTTATCAAAAAGACAAAATGTAAGATGAAAGGCTCGTAAAAGCATATGAAACGAGAAAAGCAATCAAGCAATTTAGTCGCGCTAGTGGAGTTCCATTTTCTACTTCGAAACTGAAAAGCAAAAGGATTGCAATAGTAATGATCTCTCTGTGACTTCAAAGGTTTATTATTTAAATTCCGGGAAAGGTGTATTTTCCTTTTGCAACGCTGACATGTTTTCAAATTCAAATAAATGGAATGTATAGTTTAAACAAAAATGTAATGAAATGGATAAAATGGAAATTTTTAATTTTGGTGGATGCGCCGGGAAAAATAATTTAGCAAAATTAAAATTTTCATAGTTTAGAACTTTTTATTACTTTTATATAAACACTCATTATTAACTCACATATATGATTTAATATTTGAAATTACCGTTTTACCGATAGTATCTATAGTCCATACCACTAGACTCATCGTGTGAGTCATTCGTGTTTCTCATGGTATCGACTATACGTGAGTTACATTACATATATAATAATAATATAATAATAATAAACCTTCGTCAGAAAAGCGTATAATACATAACAAACAAAATAATAAAAAATACATGATGTAACATTACCGCTAGTCAATTAACAACATTAAGAACATCTTAAAACTACATCTACAATAAACGACGGCACAAATCCGGACGAGTAAGGCATGCGAGATAAGGCCTAAACTAGGTCATCAAAAGTGCTCAGACAGTACTCATCCACACTGTAGAATGCTCTCGCTAACAAGTAATTTCTGATCCTTGATTTAAAACTATTAATATCAAGTAATTTAATGGGATTAGGCAACAAATTAAAAAATTTAATTCCATAATAATTAGTGCCATCCCTAGCTCTTTCAGTGCGAGTATAATCAATCATGAGGTTATCATGGTGTCTGGTTCCATAATGATGGACCTCATCATGTCTTTTGAAATTCTGAAGATTTTTTTTAATGTAAAGGAGACAGTTAAATATGTAGATACAAGGTAGAGTTAAGATTTTTAACTCTACACATTTGGCTCTACAACACTCAGAGGATTTTAAATTCGAAATCACTCGGATACATCGTCTCTGAGCGCTAAACACCCGAGCAGCATGTGCAGAATGACCCCAAGCGAGAATGGCATATGATAAGTGAGCATGAAAATAACCCTATTTACTGTTTAATTTACTAGTTGTTCGTATTGCATGCTCTTCCCATGTAAGTTTACGATCTAAATGAACTCCTAGATATTTGACAGTAGGGTTATCAACATTATCACCTAGTGCGCGCAAAGAGAAGAGTAACCGCTGAGTCTTAGATTCATTTACGCTAAGCTGACTAGCTGAAAACCAGTCAAAAATGTAACCCTGAGATTCAACCACCTCACTAAAAAGATCCGGCAAATTATCACTTATATTCACAGTGGTTGTGTCATCAGACATTACATTACATAGAATACATATCGGGTAGGCGGACCAACCAACCTTGCACCGCGATCCTAAGGATCTATTGTACCCCGATAGATATCGTTATCAAATTTCACCGTGCAGTCCAATGCTCTTAACGAACATTAATACCTTGCTCGGCGAAAGGTCATTCAGATCTTTTGAGGAGATAAACTGCGACCCAAAAATCGAGAATCTGATACGGTTAACGGCAGGGCAGTGGCATAAAACCGTCTCT